GGGGGCGGCCCTCCGCTAGAGGCTCGCCTGCCTCCCAGATCAGGCTGCTTGAAAAGGAAGATGAAATTCTGTTGGAAGCGAAACGCAGTCAGTTTTAGAAATAGCCCATCGCAGAAGTGGCTGAGGAAGGGTGCATGCGCCTTCTCGCCTTACCTAAAAAGGACCCCGGATTTTGTTGGGAGGCATTCGAGCCCACAGTCGCCTGCCCCATCGCCTTTAATAGGAATATGTTTAAGTTCCATGTACCCGATGCTGCAGCTGCAGAAGGGATAGACCACGGAGAGGCTCAAGAGCAACCAGCCCATGGAAGCAGAAAGACCCCTTCCAATTACCAAGCCCGAAACTAGCCTCCCCTCCATCTACCCCCCTCCCCGCCCCGCCCGCCTTCCCACTGCACACAGCGAATTCAGTTCATATACTATGATTAGGCAGGGTAGGGGTGACCTTGGTTAAGTTAAACATCGTCTCTAAGCCTCAGCTTTCCTCTCTGAAAAATGGGTATAAATACACCATAGAGTGTTTGAAAGGTAGGATAAAAATACAGACAAAAGTCACTATTTAGGGCAGATGATGCAGTAGAAGAGCATTCTTAGAGCGTTGGGGCCTAACTCTCCAATCCACTTCCTTTCAGCTAAGTCTCACTAAAATGTGGTTTCTGGCTAGATAGCTGCGTTTTGAGTCTCTGGTTCGGTTATCGTTTACAAAGTCAGTTCTTCTTCTTTTTAGATATATAGTTACCCCATCATGTATTAAACAAATAACTTTTAGAAAACAAATAAATTTATTAACATCGCTTAGAAATAAACCACATCTGTCAATAAATTAGCACAGTTTTCTAGACAGAGTTCTTCCAACAACGTTCTGCCAAAGGTGCTGGGGGTGGGGATGGGTATCATAGGCTATTGCATATTTTTAGAAAATCAGGATAAATTATATAAATTATATATTTAAAAAGAGAACTATTTCATTAACTTGACAGCATAATAAATAGATAAATAACAAACAGTTGATTGCCATTAGAAAAATGTGATTCTTAAATTACATTTACATTATAGACATTTACATGTACAATATGCACAGAGACCTAACCAGGCGCGTCTGTGATTTCTCAGGACACAAACTCAAAGGGCGGTTCGTTTTCTATGTTGTTGAAGGAAGACTTGCTGTTGAGTTTTCTGGGGTCCTCCGGGGTCCACACTTTGGCTGTCCGGATAATATTTTGTTCTTTGAGCTGTTTTTCATCAGTCCATGAGAGAGAGTGTCCTGCCAGGGGCGGGAGGCCATAATCCGGGTCGCTGGGGGAGGGGCACCCTGAGGAGGTGAGAAGAAACAACAGAGTGTGAATGTCCACCTCTATTCCCAGCGGAGCCCTCCAGTCCTTGGGGTCTATTCCCGGGCTCCTCCACAGAACAGGCGCCTTAGGTGACATTAGAAGGACCCTTTCTCTCCACTGCACAAGCCCCCAGCGCCCCCTCCCCGGAATCCCAGGAGCTGCAAGTCCTTTGTCGTCGCGCGCCCTCTGAGCCGCGGTCAAAGTGGAGGAAAAAAGAACCCGATGAACGCCAGCAGGCGCTCAAGGTCGCTGGTGCCCATGGACCATCTGTCCGTCCGTCAGTCGGCTTGTCAGCCTATTCACCCAGCCCCTCCAAGACCTTCCCGCTTGCGTCCCCGTCTCCCTGAGCTGGGATGGGACCGCACTTACGGGTGCCCCGATGGCAGATAATGACTTTCTGGGCCTGGCTGCCGGGGATG